ATAACTAAAATGAATATACAGATATTAAATATTCGGGGGGGGGGGGGGGTGGGTATGCAATGACAGAAAATTGTAAAAGAATTTCTCTAATCCAAAAAGAAATAAGTGACTTTATAATGTTGTGAATCATTAATTGAATCTAAACAGTAGTGACGAATAAAAGTTGCCCCATATTCACCGGGAGGGTGAGGGGCAAATAGAAAGTGTGAATGAGAGAATCATTTATAAATCAAAATAAATAAGTGACTTTATTGCTATGAATCAGTAATTAAATCTCAATACTTCTGGTTATAGATTAATAGGGAGATGATTTCCGTCATGCGTACATGACGCGTCTTGTGATGGTGGCCAGCAAGGAAATTCTCATTAAATCCTGAACCACTTGATATCACATGGAGTTCCCCTTCATGTTATGAATTCATGACTAGTGTTATTCATGTCATGTCGGCTACCTCGGGGGAAAATGTAATCTACTATCCTGACCGCCAGAAGAATAATTGTCCTTAGAAGCTAGAATTTATATTACTTTCCTTCAAATAATGGTTGAGATGACACGGTATAGTGGTTCATTCACTTGACTCTGAATCCAAGGGTTGAGGGTTCCAATTCCAACCTCCAGCATTAACGTCCTTTAGCAAGACATTAAAGCACATTTGCCACTCTCCACCCAGGTGTAAATGGGTACCTGATATGCCAGAGCACTACCAATGTGGCCACCAAGCTATGACCGGGGTAATAATGCAGGACAGCCAGGGGCATCAGCAGGATAAACATGGATGCTATATCAGAATCCACCATTATTATTATTATTACTAGAATTTAGGAATACGACGTATGTATAGATGAAGGCATACCTACATCTATGTTGTCTGCACAAACCTAGAAGGGGTATAAATCATTCAATTAATGCAGACTTGAGACCTTTTGACTCTAAAACAGACAGCTAGTTTATGGGTTGAGATTCAGAATGGAGAACTTGTTTAGTTTTACACAGACTCAATGAATTGAATTAAATTGATTTATTGTCCATACAAAATGGAAATTTGTTGTTCACTGGTACAGGTGTGTTACAAACAATGTACATAATTATACAGATTAATAAACATAATAACAACATACATGTAATAGCAATGGCGTTACATCCAACAATACAATGTGATTACTTGCCTAGGAATGGAGGAAAGCAATAAAATAATACAATGTCTACAAAACTTGCCCTCGATCGTTTTACCCTACTGTTGTAAATGTGAATCAAATCCGGCACAAATGAACGTCTGAAGCGTTGCTTCCAACTGCAAACATTTTCATTTTTCTAAATTACAACACACAGACACAGAAAGGCAATGACATTCATATGCACATGTGGGACTACATACATGTCGTTAATACGTAGGCTACTGACATAACAGCTTAGATCCCTCGTTTTTCTTTCATCATTTCTCAGCTTTGAGTATTCTTTACAAACTGTATTCTTGAGCTTTCATCTCAAATTGTTTGATTGTTAGAGAATGTTATTTGTTTTTAGTGCCAGAACATGAAACAGTCTTTAAGCTGTATTTGAAGGGTTTAATCAGTTTGCCGGGGAATTCAGAGAGCTGGCTGCCGATCGAGCTTCGTTTATTTGTCATAATCTTCCCGCTCCCCGCAGAATAGATCCTCGGATCTGTCGGCATTAAAAGCGCTGTAATCCGTAAACTTTTAACCTCCCGGGAAAAGTACAGCCTTGATAGAGCGAAAGAGAGAGAGAGAGCGGAATATCATTGCCGGCTCATTATTCTGCCTCAATTACACCACATGTTTAGCGTTGTGGAAGTGTCTCTTGCTCCAAAACAATGCTCTCTATTCCATTTTGATTAGTTTTTAATGTGTTGTTGCTCCAATGTGTGTAACCTAGCTTCACTTTCATGTGTTGCAATTTTTTTCTTACAACACATTTTATTTCAAATTTGTTAGTAAGCAAAATGTATTTAAGTTTATCGATCATGAAAGATTATTTTGCTGATGTGAAGAGAGAGATTATATATGTTGTTTTTGTGAGTTGAGAAATATTTGAGTTGCTGTCAGTAAGTAAAATTCCAGAAAATGCTGGGTGAATCTGTTTTTCTTTCAAAGATACATATATCAGCATCATGATAAGCTAAAAAAAGTCAATTGTGATTTGAAGTGAGGCTATTACCCTGCTCTGAAGGAATACAAACACAAAACAGGAGATGTTATTGCGCACTTGTGAAGAGATTGAAGTGAAAGCTGGCTTCATCACAATAGGAAGTTATTTCTTAAGCAATCTTTTGATTGATGCAGATCCTAAAGTGTCACATAGAAGCCAAGATATTTGTTTGATTGCTTGACTGGCACAGGATATTCATCGTTAGCTGTTTTCATGAATTAATAGAGGATCTGTTTGTGCCAGCAGTTCAAGATTCAAGTTTATTGTCCAGAATAAAATAGAAATTTCTTTTCCTTTGGTGTTACATACAATATAAACACAGGTATAGACGTGATTTTGTATGTTGAGAGACAGAAATGTGTTAAATTTTGATAAATTTCAAATAGGTCCTACAATGGTAGCTGCGACCATGAAAATCACAGAGTATGTAGTTGTGGCATATAATTTCGGAACGAGAATAGCTAATCGGTCGATTTTAGTCAATAGACATTGTTTTATAGCTTAATTAATATCTTGACCTTGAGAGGGAGCTATTCAACATGAAGTGCTTATTATTTACAATTTCATAACTTTAGAGTCGATTTCGACCGCGACAACGATCACTGAATATTATAGGATCTTATATGCTTCCAATATGTTCAATTGAACCAAATTCATGACCCCATACCAAAACTTTGTATTACCTTTAATGTTGTGCAAGAATGATTCAACACCATGCCAAGCTCTCACCAGAGGGGGGTATATCATAACAAGAACATTATTCTGAGTCACATCATAAATGCATTCGCACATGAAGAGCGAACTGATATATATATTAAAAAATACTGATACAAGTAACTTCCTCCGAGCAAAAAAGAAGAGGAGAGAGACAGCTAGAGGGAATGAGAGAGAAAGAGAAAAAAGAGGGACAAAGACAGAAAGAAAGAGAGAATGATCGAGAGAGAGAGAGAGAGAGAGAGTGAGAGTTAACACAATTAATGCTGAGTTTTTTAAATGAGACTTGATCATGCTTGGACACGTAGGCCTCCATGTATTGGTGAATAATGGAGTTCAGTCAAACCTGCTTTAGTAAAAGACCACCTTATCTGTCTCATTTGAGTGGTCTTTATATACAGGTGTCACTGTACTGCTAGGAAGGCATGTGATTGCAACTTGTCTTCAGAAAAATTATTGAACTATATTGACACTTTTGGCATTCAATACTTAAATGGGCAGTCCTGTGGTACTGGGCAAGAACATTTAGAATCATGTAATTAGGATGATTATAATTCCATTTGACAAAACAATCAATCATTTTTATAGCTTGGATGCTACACTGTTTCCCATTTTGCAAACTCTTAATACACAAAGTTCTACTCAACTAAGGTGAATTATCTGAAACATCGTCATTTATTGAACAAATTCCAAATTTTTGATGACGTAGTCAACAGACGACACACCTCCATTCCCGATTCCTAGCATCTCTCGCCAACTTTGCTTTGTTTGATTTTCTGTTTTACGAAGTATGGTGAACCATTCGGAGAAGTAAAGTTCAATTAATTGTCGCTGTGTCCGTTTGGCTATCTCGTAGTTGAAGGTTTGCCAACTTTGAAACATGTTTACAACTGTTTTTGAAGTGTTTTAAGTCCAAATCTCTTAGTAGATCAAGAGCATGATAATATTTGTTTTGAAACAGATGTGGGTGATTTTGCACGAATCTGGTTGGATTCATTGCAGGATTGCTGTAGATTTATAAGATGATACGTTATCATTTCAGTTTGCCTACCCGCTAGGACATCAGGACCAAATGTTCAAATGGACAAGCAAAAATTAATAGAACTTTGTCGTACTGTAATCCAATTAAATGCACAAATCTTTTTTAAGTGCCTTGACATTACAAATCATCTCATTCACTTCTTACAAATAAATGAATTTCAATAATCAGAACGCAAATTGCATACATTAGTTGTTGCTAGGTAGGGCAATCATTATGGCTTGTCCTTTTTTACAACACGTATGCCATCATACTTAACAGATCAATAAAACAGTTTGTAAGTTAGGTTTTGTGGAAGCAATACATCGTGGTAATAGTGGTAAGAGAAGTGCTTTGCACAAACTGGACATGACTTTAAACCACAGCAGGATTATTATGACGTCCGTTAACTTCCGTACTCCAAAAACCTTCCCCGGCGCCATTACGGTATTCCTTGTAAAACATTGCCAACCAGCTATGGGGCAGGAAGGAAGTGGCTCAATTAATTGAGACATTATCTGTAATGATATTAACCTTTTTGTTTCGGGGAAGCCCTGAATAGTTATTGTTTAATGTGACATCATTTCTGAAGGATGGTTGAGGAGGAGATGTAGAGACTGTCATTATTATTCTTTTTGTTGTAAGGCCTGCTGAGTTTAATTTGCTCTTTTCTTCTAGCACCTTTTCTGACAGTGGATGTAGATATTGCACTCCACTGTAAACAACAAGTCAACGATACACCTGAGATATTGCCTAGTCTAATATTTATATTGGCATTCGATTGAATATATTTCCACAAATACACCATGTATGTCTTAATATCCTCCTTGAATATTTCTCTGCAGTTGAACTTGGCAACCTTGAAAATTGTGCTTAAGGCTTTCCTGACATAGCAACAATTGATCTATTTGTATGCATTAACTCTCCTTGATCAACAATAATTATTTTTAAAGTGAATACCAAAGAAAATCACTGACCACTTGAGAAAGAAATTGTTTATGAATTTAAAGATATTGGTATATTTTCTTGTTTTGAGCGGAATTAATGAATTTCATAGCATTTGTTTGATAAAGTTTTTCTTTCTTTCTTTGTTTGTTTCAGCGGAGAGGTGGGATATCTTTTGACCGTGCGGATAAGACAGCTCTTTATGTTCGAATGCTTGGTGAGTAGAGAGGGTGCACATATTACACCCACAGTCTTTTCTTATGTATTTCCTCTTTCCCCTTTTCTCCCTCCAAAAAAAAGCTAGACTCATCGGTCCAAATTCACAAAGGAGGTTAAACATAATCCATGGTTTAAAAATTAGTGTTAAATAAGCGTATCTTGTCTCTGACTGTGTCGCGCTTATTTTGCGCTAATTTTAAACCATGGGTTATGTAAATGAAGATTTAAACTATGGGTTAAATGTAACCTCCTTTGTGAATTCATGCCATTTATATGTAGACTCTAGACCATATCTATACCCTGGTTCTTATCATATTGTCTGACACATCTTTTTCTGCCTCTTCCTCTTCTCGTAAATCAATGATTATAAAGCTAAGAATGACATGGTGACCTGACAAACTTGACCTAGTAGAGGGGCAAGCAAATTGACATTAATTAGCTCAAGGGTATACCTCTTCCTGCCCCTGATCAACTGTCTGTCTATAGACCCAGTTAGGATGACCCCCCTGACTCCTACCCCCAATAGACATTAGCCCAGGGTGCGTTCAAGCGACACTTTTTCACTTTAGAAACACGGATTTCAAAGACGTTTAGTTTAAAACACGGTTGCGGTCAGGTGATTTCAATTGATTTTTCGTCAGTCGTTCAAATAAACGTGTTTTAAAAACGCAAACATGAAACGCTGAAAAAGATGCATTTTGTAATATGATTCTACAGAATCACGGTCACTAAAAATCGCTTAACAGCACCCTAAGTTTTCAACCAACACTCCAAATTTGTCCTCCTCCTCCTCATTGGGTCTAATACCAGTTTTCTCAAACCTGCCATGTTAAGCATGCTTAAGAATACTTTCGCCCCTTCTTGGGATGATTTGTCTGTTTGGAGCCAGAAGGGCATTAACTTAATGCCCTTCTGGCTCCAAATAGATGAATTAAGACTGGCCCCTGCTCATACAGTTTATTTCTGTATGGAAGTCAACATTTATTTATATTTTTGTTTAATTAAAGGGGGACATTTTCAATGGTTGTAATTATTTTCAACACAGAAACCCAATTTACGTTACCAAGTTAATCACATCATCTGCTGAAAGCCAGACGCAGATAAATGTAAAATAAGTAAAAAAAAAAAAAAAACTGAATCGCTTTTGGCTCCTACTCCTAGCTGACATTTATGATGTCAGTAATTTCAGCTAGCAAGTGAGAAATGTGCCAAATCCTTGTTGTCTTAATTGTTTGTACAAGGCTTAACAGTCTTTTGGTCCCACTAATAGCCCCCCCCCCCCTGAACCCCTACCCTTCTGGTCCCTATTCCACATATTAACTAGGAACATATTAATTAATATTCCACTTCACACAATGGCATCTCAAACAAATGTGTGAGTAATTTATAGTGTGGCCCACAAACCGAGCGCCTGTTTGAAACATGACCCAGAATCATTAACAGAAGAATGAGCCCAAATTGGCAGCCTTTCCTCTGCTTTAAAGGTACTTGAAATATCTTTGTGACATAAAACTATCATCCATTGTAAATGATAGCCAATAATATACAATAAATGTTTGCAAGTGTAAATATCCAGTGTTGTTTTTTAATGCCACAAAATTCAGACAAATTTGGAACACTTGCAAATTTCTCACAGACTCATTCACAAAAATTTCTAGTTTGACAATACTAAGTGGCATGTTAAAAAATCTTTGTTGGCTGTTGAATTGATCTAGGATTTGTATAACCATGTCAGACAAAACAAATAAGAATAATAGCATATTAAGAGAAATGTAAGAAGAAGACCTTGATTATTATTTTTCCTGAACCTCGTTTGCAAACTTAAGTTAGCATAAAGTATGAGGAAAACGATCTAATGATCTTATTCTTTCAGAAATACTTCACCTTTAGACATTTCTTTGTTAGCTATGATATTTCAAAGTGATTCTGTGTCTTTATAGATATTCAGGGCCAAATTTCATGATGTTTAAAAAATGTTATCAAGAGGACTACTCAATCTTTTAAGCAATAAGCGTGTTTGTGTGAGAGCGATACAAAACTACCTTGCGCAACGCATCCCCATCAAGCTTTGTGAAGACTGTTTGAAAAGGGTTCCACTTGTGAAATAGTAGACTGGATATATAGGAACTGAAAGTAACATGATGCAAAAATCAAAATATGTTTTCCTATTTTAAGCAATCTTGTGGCAATAGTTGTTTCTGATCGAGGGATACTGATTCTAATATTACTTGTGAAGAAACTGAAATTTGAAACGAGTTTCACTGTTGCGGCTTGTTCAGACATGGCCCAGTAACCACTGCACACAACAATGGACTTGTTATAGATTTTATGTTGTTAGGACGTTTTCTGAACATGTAATAACGTCATCATATAACGAACGCAAGGGTTTGCCGTGTCATGTCCGAACAAGCCTTAAAGGGGAAGTCCACCCTGAAATTAAGTTAGTTTTAATAGGAGTAGAAAAATGAGAGAAACAAGTCAGTGAAAGTTTGAGCAAATTCCGATTAAAAATAAGGAAGTTAGGATTTTTTAAGTTGTGATCAATCAAACACAAATTGGCAACTCTATGACGTATCATGCGAGCTCAACTTCCATTTGCTCAGTACTAAAAAAATCTAAAATTTTCATTTTCCCTTAAGAAAAATTTCAACCATACATGCACCCTAAATATAATAATTGCAAATATGTTTCTATACTCCCCCTGCAAGGAACAAATATATATTCCGTCATCAATAACGAAGAAAACATGATTCTATGGAATATTATGCACAAAGCAAATGAAGGAGAGCTCGTATAATAAGTCACAGAGTTGCCAATTTGTATTTGATTGATCACAACTTCAATAATTCATAACTTTCTTATTTTCATTCAGAATTTGCTCAAACTTTCACTCACCTGATTTTCTTATTATTCTGCCTCTATCGAAACAAACTTATTTTGGGGGTGGACTTTCCCTTTAAGTAGTTTTGGCAAAAGTATGAAAAAAAAGATGCTTTGTACATGCTCCTGAAGTCATATCAGAATTAATATACTTGAGTAAATTACCGTAGTAAGTTATCAAATAAAATGGATGGTTTAATGTTGAACATTGGACAGATTTACAGAGAAGTTGAAAGAAGGGCAGGAAAGAAATTTACCTGCGTAAGACAAGTTTCACTTTAGATTGTGTACGGGAATTTCCTTTTACATGTATGTAGATGATGGCGGGTTTTGTAAAATATTGATATTGAGAATTCAATGCCTTCAAGTTGATTAGAAGTGAAAGGAAAGGAAAGAATTTACTTTTGTGGGGGATGACTTTCATATTCATAGCATTGTTTTTATTGAATCAGTTTAGATTGATGCACTTGAATTCCTTTTGTGATGGTTGTGGTCGGAAGTTGAACATTCAATGTGAAGCATGCAAAGTACTTACGGAAATAACCTATTTCAATTTAGCAGGGGACAAGTTCACCATGTCCGGAAGTTTATAGGGGAAAGAGTCTGAATTAATGCTTGTAAATTCCCTTTTTGTGCTAGATATCGGTAAACTACTGGTCATCATAAATTCATAATAATCAATTATTACTTGCTCAAAGATCAACTGTTCTCCTCAAAATCCCCTCGCACATGACACTTGCTCAAATCAGCTAGTATATAAACCTGTCTTCTTCATATACATTCACAATTGTATGGAATAGTTTATTATACAGAATACTGAACGAATCATTTATTCAACAGATTCCCCCCCCCCCCCCTAAAAAGAATTAATGAATAAATAAATTCAAAATTGGTAATCCCTTGCATGCAACAAATTGGTCGATGGTTGCCATGGTTATAATGCTTTGACAGTGACAACCACTTTGACAGCAACTGCTCTGAGCTTCGTACTGTCAAAGATGTAGGATTAGGATTAGGATTAGGGTTTTGATACAGTCTTGGTTTAGCTTTAGGATTAGTGTTAGTGTTAGGTCCTGGGTTGAAATAAGGAATTTGGTTATTGTAGGATTCTGCCACAGAGCAATTTCCACTAAAGCATTAGTCGTACAACCCATGCACCTCGTATTTCCAAGGTTCAAACACGAGACTGCAATGTGGAAGTTGTGTGACCTCATTCTTTCACTAACCCAAGAACCGTCGGTAGCTTCCTATACATGGAACTTAATTATGACTTTGATGTTAGCGAAGGATTATCTCGGTCCTGTTTGGGTTCGGAGCATGACAGACGCAGGATTTAGATAGGCCGTCGGGGCTATGTCAGGCCGAGACACAAGGTCATAAACAAGGTCAGGGGCGGAAGGCGTTTTGAAGGAATAAGGAAGGGAAGGCATTACATGAGTGATGCTTGTTGGTTTGCATGAGTTTAAAGGGGCATTTCGTAGTAGTTGCCCCTAAATTATCCGGTAGGAATGTCGAAGATAAGACCTACATTATTCTCTAAAGGTTTGCATTTTGGGAGTTAAGGTTATGAATTGCATTTCTACATTGTACTACCACTGAATGTATGCCTACCACTGCACTGCCATACCACTATATGCCACAACTAATCAGTATCCTCTGTCATTACCCCTACCACTACCACAACCAGCTACAACTATCCACTTTTATCATCACTACCACTATCCACTACAACCATCTGCTACCACTTGCACTACCACTACTGCTACCATTTCTATGGCTACTCCAACCACTTGTACAAGTCCTACTAACATTATGACCACTTGTGCTCTTCTAGTTTCTATCTTTCTTCTAAAGCTAGTATTTAAATTGCAACAACCTCTAGTTTTTTTCTTCAAATTCTACAATTGTTTCTACAACCAATGACCCTTCTGCCTCTTGACTATCATAAGTAAATTTCTTTTATGTTGCATGTACTTGTAACTCCCACTACACAAAACATGTGATGATGAGACTCAAAGCTACTGACACTAATGACTCACAAGCACCATAGGCCTGTCTTCATCAGCTCAAGTTTGCCAAATAACCCGCTATTTTCAGACCCGTGATATTATCCCAAAGCTCGAAATTGCGTCTTCACCAGAATGTTACGTTCATCACTAACTAGCTCGGACGGGCGCAAATTAGCCCACTATTCCCCAAATAGCGCGATATTTTGGGAATAAGACCAAGATTTCTCAGCATATTTTCTCGACAAATATCTCGCTAATTGGAACTGCAGGCTGATGGAGACTCAAATTAACTGGTTAATTTGCGATCGGGTTAGTTAAAATGGCGGGTTATTTGGCAAACTCGAGCTGATGAAAGCAGGCCTCATGTGAAGAGCTTCCTCAACATAAATGCACCAACCATTCAGCGTACGCTCTAATTAGTTTGTGATTCAGTCATAACCAGAAGTGCATTATTAATTGCAGCAATCACTATCATCATTATTATTATTTGAATGTTCACTTTTTTGTCTTTTCAGGTGATGTGATAGTTCACGGCAAACTGGTGACAACGGAACCTATACCGTTTCCCCGGGTCCCCGAAAATGTATATAAGGCACCAGAGAGTAAGTAGACATGTAACACGCTTTCACTTTTTTTTTAAATCAGCAGTTTCTTCTTCCTCTTAAAAGCCCCACTGCACTACTTATAGCTACTTGCGCCCTCTATAGGTGAACAATGCCTAATTGGTGCCTGTTTGTCCCCCATAGTTCCTTTTTTCTTATGTTAATTGAGAGCTGATTTGGTGAGATAACCACCTGTCAGTGACCATTCAGGGAGGTCTAATCCCTCCTGGCCAAACTAGTGTAAAGGGGCTTTAACAGCCGGTCTCATATCACTCATACTAGTAACTGCACCTTTAAAATCAGTTTCCTGACTTATTTGGAAAGGTTATGGGTATTGATACTAGACCTCCCCCCTCACCCCTCCCCAATCTTTTTTTTTAGTAACTATCTTACTACGCCGATTTGTCTGGATACGCCCCCATGATGCCCCCTGTCGTGCCTCATAAGCACCGGTGCGGCAGAGGTTCATGCACGGCTTCATCTCGCATCCAGTTTCCGTCTTTTTTTGTTTTCCAAACATATTGGTCTCTTGCTTCAATGAATAATAGAATGATGCAGTGGGTCAAAGCTGCATGTTCAATACAGCATAACTAGAGAGAGCCTTACCCAGACAAGAGGATGCAAGGAACATCTTGCATGATTTCTCCCTGTATTTCCACCATTTTTTGCATTAGCTACCCTCCCCCCCCCCCCCCCCCCCCCCCCCCCCCCTCTGTCTCTCTCTCTCTCTCACTATATCTTGCTCGCTCTTTCTCTCTGCATTCTTTCTTTAATTTGTGTTTGTATGTCTATTTCCAGATCCTCTCTCTCTCTCTCTCTCTCTCTCTCCCTCTCTTTCTCACACACACACACTCACTCTCTCTATCTTTGCTATCTCTCGACCTCTCTCTGTATTTTTTCTTTAATTTGTATTTGTATGTCATTTCTTTTCTTTTTCTTCATAATCTGATCTGATCTCATCGGTTTTACTCCTCTCCCATTCCCCCATCTCAATATCTCTCTTCTCTATCTCTTCTTGTAAAATTCAGTTGACTGTTTGATTGCACCCCCATAGACTTTCTGTGTAGTTATCAATGAAGATATCAGTTAGGGTTAGATTCATGTAGGGGCCTCTCATCATGGTCCATAAACATCACGCCTAGAAACATAACAGACTAACTCTTTTCATTGCAATAAACAGAAGATAGATATCTCAAATAGTCTACTGCTATCAATATTTTAACTGTGAATTCGCAGAAATTGTTTTGTCATTGACAGAGATAATATCTGACCACATCTATTTCCTATTGTGCAATGAAGGCAATAGTTTTTGCCATATCATTGATCAATATTATATGACGTAGTCATGTGGAGATATATAGTATTTATGTTTTATCTTCACAACTGGATTACTTTTACCACTGTTATGTAAGGTAACTGAAAAACAAAAACAATAATTAAATACCTGAAAATCTTGATTTGTATACCTGGGCCCCGTCTTACAAAGAGTTACGATCGATCCAAATCAATCGTAAGTCCTCCAATCAATCGCAAGTTTGCACTCTCCTATCTCTTATGTACATAGTTACGATTGATATCAATCGCAAATAAGTTACGATTGATATCAACTCTTTGTAAGACGGGGCCCGGGTATGTATATTGACTTCAGAACTTTGTCAGTCCTGCATAACATGAGGTTCTTTTATTCATTTTGAAAATGTGAAATTGCATAATCTCCCTTAGCAAACAAGCAAAGCCGCTGCTTGTCGGGCATTAGGTGGTATAATCTTACTGTATTTAGTGAAATGAGTGTATTTTCCTGTTCGTTCGTGTGGCCCAAGCGCTGCGCCCCCTGCAAACCATCGAAACCGAATCCGAGTCGGGTTACTGTGTACACTCGTCGCATTACAAAGTTTCCAGAAATTCAAGAACGGGAGGAAATCCCGAGCTATCTTTCCTGATCCCTAATATTCCATCTTGTCCTGCAAGCTTTTTTCCCCTCTCTCTAATGCCCTTCACCCAGGCCATGTTTCAAGAGTGCATATATTTGCTCTCGACTCATAGGCCATACGTAGAATCGAATGACAGGGACTAGAGCGAAGTAATCAGGCTCTTAGTGACATGCGGGAGCTGTCAAAATAGTTGTAAATAGTGGTCAATGTTCATGATGGTCTTGTAAAAGTGAAAATGTATAAGATGTATGAAGAAGAAGAAGAAAGAGGATGATGGAAAATAATATGAAATATGAAGGATGGAACAAGATGGGAAGAAAGAAGAGGAGAAGGAGGAGAAGAAGAAGGATGATAAAAAGAACAAGGAGGAGAACGAAAAGAAGAAGAAGAAAAAGGAGGAGAATAAGAAGGAAAAGAAAAGGAAAGAATCTACAATAGAAGAACAAGAAAGGAATTAGTAAAGAAGAACTGAAAGAAAAGACAAAGACAAAGACATATAAAACACAAAATGCATAATTGTTGAAATTCATAATTTTATCACATTCTTAGGAATATGGAACTGGGAAATACATTATATCTCGATTACTCTCAATGTTACCTACAATTTTTCTTTAGATATGTATTTAAACAAACTTAATTAACAGACATCACTAATTATTATGCCTTTTGCATTCTGGGCATGTCTTTTGGTGCCATTACATTTCACAAAGCTACCTAGTCCTGTTTCTTCCTCATTTATGATCCAAATTTACAATGAAATTCATACTAGAATTAGATTGTCTTATTTATGAAGAAAATACCTTATTGCAGATTAAGCAAACAATGACCCAAGCAAACATGTTTTGAATGTTTAAGTACTCTAGACTTAAATGTCTTCTAATTGTTTAATACTCATTTTAGCATAATTCATACAAAAAACTCATCAATACTTTTGCCTTACAACTCAATGTAGCTTTGATGCTCAAATGACTACATATAACATTTTGTATGACCCATTTTTAAACTCTCTTTTTTTAATCTACAGTTTTGCCCTGCAACAAGATTCGGCGGACCAGCCTACAGACGCCCACGGTGGCGGCCATTGAACCCTCCCCGCCATCAACGTCAGCTTCGCAGGCGAAGCAGGCGAAGAATGATGACGGTAGCGACGACCGGGCGAAGTTGTCTACTGTCCAACAGCGCACACACCCTACAGTACTCCTCGATGCTGCCTATCACGGAAATGCACATGTAAGAAACCTTGCCATTCCAATGCTCTTTTTTAATAAGAAATTGATTCCAGGGCCCTGCGTTACAAAGAGTTGATATTCATCGCAACTTCTTTCAATTGATATCAATCGCAACCATATACATAAGAGATAGGAGATTGCAAACTTGTGATTGATTGGAGGACTTGCTTTATATATGTATACAGTGTATGATTGTTTATATTTTTGAAAAGGCAGTGTGGTTTTCGCTAGATTCTGTTAAAATTGTTTTACGTCATTTCAAGAGCTGATCATTACCTTTAATGTCCACTGTGGAAGGGTCTCAAATGGAGGGCATCTAGGGCATCTAATCTAGATCAGTGGTTCCTTATAAGATAGCCAATATTGACACCTACCCGTCTTTGTGTTGTCTGATGGCTATCAAGGCAGATAATGGAAGCGTTTTGTTGACGTCAATGCAGGCCTTGCCAAACCAAAGACCTGTTCAACAATGTGAGGATTTGTCACAAATTTCTGCATTTGTGGTTTGATTAGATAGGTTTAGTCAGACCTCGTGTCCGGCTTTGTAATTTTTTAATCATAAATTGTTTGTATGTGTTTCGTATTTTTAATTAATTTTCTTACACAGACCAGAAATCTTGTTGGCCTTATTGTTTTTTAAATGGGTATTTCTGAATATTGAAATATTCATCAAATTCAAAAATAACAAATTAGATGGTCTACATGTATATTCACATTTGAATATGCTAGATCCTTTAAACAAGGGCTGTGTGTGTGGGGGTGGGGGTGGGGGTGGGGGAGGGGGGGTCACCTTTCCTCCCACCCGCCCAACCCTCTTTTTTTTTCTTTGTCATCAGAGATATCAAGTGCAAATCAACATCCCTAATTCTGATGACCTAAAAAAGATATTTGATGTTGGCAGTTGCAAGAATCCCCCCCCCCACAAATTTATGCTCAATAACAATGCTGGAGTAGCAAATGTTTAAACACCTACATCTAATGGGTATGTTTTCAATTTCAAAGCTAATGTACCATGCAATTAAATATAGTTAAAATGATGAAAAGTTGAAATATTCCATAGAATAAGAAGGAAAAAATAATTAACAAAGTTGAATGCAGGGCATTAGACTCATGATTGCTATTTTTCCTGGTTATCACTCTATAAGTTTGTTTTACCTTGGTATCTGAATATGTGGTGTACAACCTTGGGGGTTTGAAGGAAATTCATCTCTGACTCACTTCGGCGTCACTCCCATGTCGATGAAAAGTGAACTGCTGTGGTTTAATGAACTACACATGTAACAAAGTAAAAACATTCCTGGTCCATTTGTAACTTGAACCACTTATACACAAGAGAGGAAATCAATATACAAACTTTGGATTTAGAAAGAAAGAAATTATTAGCTGTACAGACTACAGATGGCATAGGCCACAGTAAGTGTAGTAAGGAAGAACATGATTTGTCTCTATAAGTTTACAAAGAAAATTAAGAAATGTATAATTCCTACAGATATGATCTGTTTCATACGTTTAAATAAATTTAATGTTAATTGTTATTGTATAATTGTTTAAAATTGGGCATGCTACAAGAGTCCTATCTCGCACCCCAGGGCAACGTGTCTGACACGGCCGGTTGTAGCAACTACTCCGAAGATCAAGATTTAATCTTGATCTAAGGAGACACGAACGAACGAACAGATATGATTAACTGTGACTTGTTGAGATATATAAAGATCATAATAAATGTCAATTTAAAGAAATTTGTTTGGAGATTAGTGCAAAGGTGTGTTTACATAAATACACTTTTTATTATGATGAAGTCAATCCTGATTTTATAATCAGGAAAAGTTTCGTCGGATACATATGTAGAATGATGATGTAGAATCTAAATCCAGTGTCAAGTAAGACATTACACCATTGAAGGTGCTATGTAACAAAACCGGAACTGTTTGAAAGAGAATAAATGAAAAATACCAATTAGTTAGGAGCTGCAACAAAGCTATTTCCAAATGTTCTTTATTGTTTCCAAGCTGCCTGTCCTTATTAATCAAATCACTGGCCTACATTGTAGTATGCTAGCATTGTAAACTTTTACAATAGCATTATGGAGAAAATCAGCATGAGATTTCTGCTTTGCTCTACTCATTAAAATAACTTACGTATGCTACCTAGACATCACAATATTTGTTATTGTATTCATATTTATAAACAAACCATTAGGAACTAAAACATAAAAAGGGCTAATATACAGCCCCAAATGGAATGTGCATACAATAGCACAACCAAAAATAGTGTATTTGATTTGAAGCATAATGGTGTTTGGCATTCTTATTTTCTTAGAAAAAAAGGGTCTAGATTGCATTTATTTATTAACAATGGGATATGACCTTATATACAGCTGTGATGCTTTAGAATTTAAATGAAATTTAATAAAGTGATTAAGAGATAGGTGGAGCGTTTGTTATGTTTCTGCTGCAGTCAAGCTGCATACATCAATTCCCTTATACTTGTTTCAATCATACTTAGGGCATAATAATAATAATAACAATGGGTTCTTGTATAGCGCTCATGTCAGTCAGATTTGATCCTCCTGGCGCTCCTGATTGCCATGTTGCCATAAAAGTCAAGAACTGCTTTGCTACTACTTAGCCGTGGGCTCAATAACCTACCTATGTGTATGCAAGACAGAATTAAGGATCTCAAAAATGTATATCGACCCTGACATTTAATCATATCTGTTTATTATTATTTGTTGATTGCACATTGAGAAAACAATGCAAACTCACATACGACATGAATTTGAACATGGACTTTGTGAAGTAACCCCTAAAAGTTGTGAAAATTCTGGATTAACGCAACAAAAATATTAAAGCCGTAATTAATTACTGTCTAAACCAAGTTTTAAACAAAATAAAAAATCTACCTTCTAGAATATAAAACAGTTTTTGATTGGTGATTAAAGTGTTAAGAAATGTAAAGAAGTTGATGATATTTTTTTCTTCAAAGTACTTTGCACCATTTTAGTGCATGCACTCTGGAAGTTTGGTATGACAGTTAACCTGGTTCCAAAATTGGTGAACTCTCCCGGATGAGGAGCGGAAATAGGTCCAATTCTTCCTGTTCATGGTTCCCTGGCTCGAGGGACTTCCTATATGAAACACAAATACCAGAAGGTTTTTAGCCATTCTTCTTGAGCAAAGAAGTTTGTCTTTTTTGTGGTTGTTCTTTTATTTTATAAGAGGGTAAAAGAAGTAAGATTTTCTTTTCTTTGGAAAAAAAGAAGACAATTAAGCTAGCTTTTTCTTGTGCACCTATGAATAGAAATTTGAGACTGATGGGACGATACAAAGTCTTCATACTACTACTATTATCACCACATCATCGTTATCATTATCATCATCTTTATCATTTTTTGTGTCAATAAGAAATGTAATATAAATGAAAAGGATTAAAGATGTTGCCTACTTCCCTATCAAGTTCAAGTAGATCATTTCATTTAATAAGTGATAAAAAAAAGTAAGATATGTTTTCCTTAGGAAAAAAAACAAGACAAGCTATATTTCTTTTATGCACCTATGAAAAGAAATTTGAGACAGATGGGACGATAATAATTTCTCTTATTACTATAATTATCATCATCATCATCATCATCATCATCATTATGTAATTTCATATGTAATTAAAAAATCAGTCTACCCATCTTCAAATTGATGCATAACATTCCATAGCTTTTTAGAACAAGAAGAAAATCACCATACAAAAATTTAGGGATTCATGATCAAGAATTAAAGAATTGCGAAAGCTTATCATATCTCTGAAAACAACAGATGTTTGTTATTCAGGTGAACATGTAGATGTATAAGTAGGATGCCCCTACCTGTACTTTTCTAAGGCTACCCTCGTCCTTCGACTCAACCATGATATAGTTTGCTTTTCGATAGATCGGCCACGGAGGGAAAGGTCAAAAGCAAGTGACCGATTAATGAGACGGTGAGCAGGGATTGACCAAGATGGGTCATTTGAAGTCAGACCGCTTGGTTATAATCAGTATCTCCTTGAACTATCTCAGCAAACAATTGAAAATCAATCGCAAGATCTAGTTCTTAGTTATAGTTCCCATTGTCTCTGGCTTTAAAAACGTTTATTGATCTCAAGTGGTGCCCCACATACTAACATCCATGTATGTATGCAAGCAGGAATGTTTGACTGCTAGTTTGCTGTAATACTGGAAAAGATGCACAAGGGCAGTGAGCTTGAATTAAATATATGGAAATTATTGCGAGAAAGTTTAGTCCTTTAAGATTTCCAGTGAACAAAAAGTGATCTTTTCACTGATTTTAGGCATGTGTTTGGACAAAGTTTATGGAGTAGTAGGTATCTCAATAGTAATGTTGTGTAGTTCTGTACAGTAGCACGCTATGAAAATAATTTAATAATATGTTGAAGCTATTGGTCGATTATATTTCTCCTAGAACTCTTACATATTATCTATTTAGATCCAGAAGGCTGTTGAATCATATACTTTAACACAGTGTTTATAACTTTCTGGTTCTCAACAAAAAACATAACTTTAATCACTCACATCTCCTGCGATTATATTTTGTTTGCTCTGCTCAATTAATCATCTATCCCTTACAATTTGGATTGGTTTTGTCTCTCAAAAAAAGAATGTGTTATCCTGGATACGGCTCTAAGAGAAGAGCTGATTGGTTGCCTATATACATTGATTGAACAACCTACCTTTTTATTGATTTCTGTTTTCCATGAATTTTTTCTCCATACTCTATCCTAGCTATATCGAGCCTCAGTTTTAGTCAGGAAACTTCCTGAGCGATCATGAAATATTCATTTCTTGACGACAGGTGTTTTGAAATGCCTAGAGCCCTCGCTTGATTTGTGATGGACAGTCAAAGTCAAAATCTAGCTTCCATTGAATGCTTAGTCTGAATAAAGATGATGTCATTGATTTGAATTCTAGAGAAAATGTGATAAGCATGACTGGAAGCAAGAGGAACACTTAAAAATTCAAAATTAGTTTTAAAATAGAAAATGTTCAAATTTCATGAGTTGTTCAGTTCCACAAACAGCCGTGCCACAAAATAACTGAATCACATCTGAAACAACACCTGATTTTTACAAGTTGCATATAAGGCCCATTTACACAGCCCGAACATCATTGTGAAAATCATCAATGTTTTTGACTGCCATTTATACTGCTGGAAAAACTTGTGACAACCCGCCGGTGTGGGCTCATTCCGATAATTTGTTGAGTAGTATGCATACAAAACCTGTTGCTATAGAAGTGAGGAGAGTCACGTGACAAAAAACAGAATAATTTACTTATTTTTCAAGAGCAGGCATTTACACTGCAAAAATTGGTGAAATTAACAAATAAAAAATAAATTATTTTGACTTTTTTTGTGTTTGCTAAAACTCTGGAATGTGAGAAAAATCAACTTTGCTTGCAGTGTTTCTTGCCATGAGAATCATTGTCATTAACGATTCATGAAACTATTGAAAGTTCCATGTCAAAAATGTTTCCAATCTCACAGTACTCGGTTTAGGAATTTGGATTATTCTTGTTCTCCTTGATTAATCATTGCATCTCTGTTTCTTCTTTCTTTATTTCAGCACATGCTTCAGAAGATCGGGCACTGGGACTTCAATATTTTCAAGTTTGATGAAATGTCCAAAGGTAAGAGCATCTTCATGTTCTTGTGATAATTGAGAAGTTAATTGCATTTTTAAATGATGGAGAGATGGAAGAATGATTGGCAGGTGGATGGGCATGTGAAGTGGAGGAGAAAGGAGAGGATATATGAGATTAGACGATGAGACATGCGATTGAGGGAACGAGCGACAGAAGGGAAGAATGATTGAGGGAAAGATTGAGTGAGGGATCCAGTGATGGAAGGGTAGAATGATTGAAGGTTGGATTGATTGAGGGATGGAACGGTTGAGGGAAAGATTGAGTGAAGGATAGAGTGACGGAGGGGTACAGTGATTGAGGGATAGAACGATTGATAAATAGAGCGATGAATTAGTCTTTGATTGAATGATAGTCATGATTGGACGATGGCTGAAGTGAATTAAAGCTGATTTGGAAATTTGTGATGGCTTGACGAAGCGATGAATGAAAGAATAAGTAAATGGATGACTTAGCAGAATGAAATATGCCGTAACCAAAACTCATAAATGTTATCTACTTGTAATTAACATGAATGTGGAAATATGCATCATAATAATGAGCGTAGAAATATAACTTTATATTGAATAACTAAATCTATGCAATAATTGTCAGCATTTTCCTATGTTAAGAAAAGAGCCTTGCATATTCTGGCTGAATGAAGCAGAGGAAAGAAATGTGTTGTAATCTGCTGATGATCAAACGTTGAAGGAAGACGTCGTGTTGTAGATGTTCTTGGTAGATAGTGTGAGGAAGCAATCCAGAGCTAGGATCCATGTTTATAAGATGCGATCGTTCTCATAGATAATAAGCATAGCCAAGAGGGAAGAGGGATGCATTGTTATCACAGTGGCATGTTGACATGGACGGCTCATGAAGAATTACTCGCAAATGAAAGTTTCGATTGTACTATTCAACATTACTGCAGGCCTCCCCCCTCCCCCAACAAAGAGTTTAAAATGAAATTAAACTGTTGGAGACTGTTGAAGCATCAAATATAGTGGATAGCCATAAGCATATTGCCAAGGGGGGGAAAGATGTTAGTAGTGTTTTTTGCTGGTTATCTTCAGAGATCAAAATCCTCTCGTCCCCCGCCTACAGTTTTGTAACGGGATTTCAACTGAATATGAGTTTGGTCCTACGAGCATAGAGATTGAATATGATGAAGAAATGTTCATCAATAATGGAATAGGGTGGTAATTAATTTCCATACTTATCTAAAATTTAATTCATCTTCAATTATGCTATAAAATCAGTATTAATGGAAGGATTAAAAATAGTTGAAAGTGGAGTGACATGTTCACTTAGTGTATGCAAATGTTTTTCCATGGTGCCCCTTCTTATTTCAGAATCCTGGATACACCACTGCATGTATCCTTATATTTCAATGCCGTATCGGGCTCAGGTGCTCCTCGTTCATTCTCACCTTGCCAGCGTATTGAATGCATTTTTGTGTCGTTGTTGCCATCAGCGTATTATCATCATCGGTAATTTTTCACTCTTCATGCAGCCCGGTGCAACAACCCCCTCTATTTCTCTTCCCTTCTTCGTCTCCTTTCGTCGGTTTGTTTTTGGCCAGTTTGCCCCGGAGCTGTGCGCTTCCCATCGCGACTGTCAGACGGTGAAATGGATGAGGGGATAACAGGAATATGAGCGAGTTCCCAGTTGCTATGGCAACCACGGTGATGAATTTTGCTACCGTCAATAACAAGCTCACTTTTGCAGGTGTTTTTTAGACTAGTGTTATCTCTTGATGAGTTTATTGTGTTACAGTGTGTCCTGGCATTTCTCTCCCTCTCTCTGTCCTTCTACTTTCTCTGTATGTTTTTCTGAAGATGATCATAATGGTGCATCCATGTGCTGTCGTGCCGTGACGCTCCTGGCGCTCGATCCAACATTAATACCCCGGTCATAGCCGAGCAGCTAAATATGTAGCACTCTTGCACATTGGGTATCCATTTACACCTGGGTGGAGAGTGGCAAATGATGATCAATGTCTTGCCAAAGGATGTTAGTGCTGGGCTGGGATTTGAACCCTCAACCCTTGGATTAAGAGTCAAGTGAATGAACCACTATACCACACACACCACAACACCTCTTGATCTTTCTCTCTCTTTCTCTCTCTTTCTCCCTCTTTTTTTTCCTCTTTCTCTCTCTCTCTCTCTCTCTCTCTCTCTCTCTTTTCTCTCTTTTTTTCTCTCTCTCTCTCTTTGCTCTCTCTCTCTTTTCTCTCTCTCTTTTTTCTCTCTCTTTTATCTCTCTCCCTCTTATTTCTCTCTCTCCCTCTCTCTCTCTTTCTTTCCAATTCTTTTTCTCTGTTGTAAATTTGTTTTTGAAGTGATGTAATGGCTCTATTTATGATAACCTTCTATATAAACCAAAGAGTCATGCCTCATCTTCAGTCTGTGCACAGCTAAGTCAGGAGAACCTTATCCTGTGGTTATATTGACAAAATATTTAATTGTGTCTTTAAAGTTGGGAACTTTATAAAAGAAAAACTGAAAATATAGACATACTTACTGATGTCAACCCAGGAACAAACGTAGACGATCCAAAGTTTGATTTGCTATTATTGAATCTAGGGTTTGCCAATTTGACCCATAAGCAGGTTAAACGCAGGCAGCGGTAATTTGTATTCTTTTGTTTTGCTTTGATAGATGATATTGCTCTTCCAATTTAGAACACCCTCCGGTCATCCTAGAGAACACTTGTTTAGACGTTTCAGTCTGACCTGTAATTCAGTTTTTCTGATTTCGCTTTCATAATTCTTTTTTTTTTACTTGATGATTCATTCTTCCCTAAGCCTATTTTAGGTGAAGCAAATCTTTCATTATTGGCATTTTGTCATTTTTTATTTTGATATATTATTATAAGGCATTTAGGATTGTTTTACAATTATATATTAATCAGAGTTTTGACCTGTGAGTAATGTTAAGATAGAGCAAGATAGATATCGGCAAGTCAGTGATTTCTTGATAGAAGCATAAAAGTCTTTTAGATTAAAACCGTGGGACATGCATGCAGGGAGATGGAGAAAGAGAACTTATTTCTTTCTTTCTTTAACTAGTGTAATTTTTGCCAAGGTGCACGGCTACATTTAAAGAAGGAAGAGAAAAAGAGAGAATAGATAGATAAGAGAAGACCTACTTGGGAGAAAATAAGAACCGGGTGAAGGAGATTGAGGAGAAAATGGAAATGCAGGGAAAAGAAACAGATATTGTCAGGGATAAGAATATATAAAGAATGTTTAGAGAGAAAGAGAGAGAGAGATAGAAAGAGATAGAGAAATAGAGAGAAAGAGAGAGAAAAAGAGAGAGATAACAAGAGAGAGACAGAGATGAGAGAGAAAAGGAAAACATGCGCAGATGAAGACCGCTTTGTGAAAAAACTTCAGTTTCAGTGTCAACAACTAGGCACGCTCGTTTTGACCGCTACCAAAATATTGAAGTCGAGTAACGTTATACTGTCTCCAAATCGATATCTTGTATCGCTGCGTTTAAACGTGACCACAGTTTAGAAAAGTGTCAGCCTGTAAATAGTCCGTCTTAGAAATCTCTGAGTTTGTAATTACACGCGAAAGCTTTACCACAAAGTAATTTCTACTTCAAGCAAAGCTGCCCCTCGACCATGTTTATTTCCTTCCTAACAATCCTGTAGCGCAAGTAGTCATGTGGCTCTATAGACGATGTACATGTAGATCTACAGTGTAGGAACACTGAGGTGAATCACTTTTCCAGAGTGTTGCAGATTTGCAGTTGATATATCAAGCCCATGCTTTTACAAACGCATTAAAGAAAGAAGGAGATATGACCCTCAATTAAATCTTCAAAATCCCTTTTATAATATGGAATATATACAGACTCAAATACTGATTTGATTTTCACTGCCGTTTATGCGGCAGCATAGCATGTGATAAATAATGATAGCTGTTCACTCAAAACCACATTACTGTTTGTTCTAATATATTTATTCATACTGTACATGAAATAATTGAAATTTGGAATATCAGATCACAGATCAAAAATCAGTTTTTCACCTACCTCCTCTATTGTTTTGTATCTGTGAACGATCATGATGTGAAGCTGTGAACATGCAAACAAGAAAGTCACGTTGAAGGACATCTATAAACATCTCCTTCCTAAACGTCCTTGCTATTGTCTGTGTCGATTCAAAATATCAGCCCTTCATGTGAGGACACCATCCCCCATGTGATCAAGAGGGGCACATCCAGAGGGGCAGTTTGCGAAACCTGTCGCCTCCCCCTGTAAAGAGAGGGGAAATTAATGGTGAAGGCATGCCCCTAGCTGAGCCCCTGTATGATCAGGTGTTTGTTTGCAATGGGGGTCCTGCCGACCCCTTCCCCATTTTCATCATGATTACTATGGATCCCTTGCCAACTTATGATTGGACGGGACTTGCTGCTATTATAGTTTATGGTTTATGTATGGACCTACTTCGTAGTAGGTTCATGGTATATGTAGGTTGGTCATTTGTTTGGAAAGTGCTTGGGTACATTAGAGGCGTTAAAAGGATGGGTGTAAGTCTATTTTGAAATTTGAAGCAGATTAGAAATTCTTATGAAAATTTCTCTGAGATCAAATGCTCTGCATAGTGCAATGATTTTTTAAATCTAACATTGAAGGTTGTTACTCATTTCAAACAATCATTTGATATGTTGTGAGAGAGTTGAAGAAAGACTCCTGCATTAGGAAGCGTGGGCTTACAGGGGATTATTTACACATTTGTTTTAAAGATTCATGACAGTTAAATCTATCCAATATATCTTTGTAAAGGATGCCAAAATGTAACCACATTCATAACAATGTTATAAAATCCCCCTTGCTTTGAGACAGTAAAAGTGTGATTATCCATAAGTAAAGAAACCTACGTGTAGCGTCTCACCCCCCCCCTGGATCCCTAAACTGAAGTGTGTGTGCCTGTCATGCAACATACCACGTGGAATCTACAATACGCATGTTCACCGATGTTTATCAATCGGTGAGGGACAA